CCATCCGTTAGTGGCCTATCGTGTTCCTCTCTAATGGCTCTTTGATGATAGTTATCTCTGTCTAACGAAGCCCCTTCCATCCACCCAGGATATTAATTTCACTCTTTGGTGGTGGCCATGTCAGAGGAGCTGCAGTCAGCAATGGAGCTCCCTGGATAGCACAGCCACAATGAGTGCACCCCGGAGAGGCAAAGCCCCAGGGGTTTGTCTCCAGGATGCCCCTTGCTTCTGCTGCGCTTTCTCCTGCTTGCTGCTGCTGTGTTCTTACCGTATCTGGCACGGTGTGAACCTTATGGGAAAGGATCCCACTGTATCTAGTACAGTTCGATGGTCTCATAGGAAAATCTCACTCCTTACCGGGCAATTTACTTGCAGATCATAATGAAGATGATTTTTATAGAGCAATGATACTTAGAGATGTGAGATTTGCTGGGGATGGAAAATGAAAACAGGAAAGTTTCCCACATTATAGACCCATGGATTCTGCCTGTGGAAGAACAGGCTGATGAGCAAAGAAGGCAATTACGTCCCTACAACCAAGGTTAGGTGTTGCAGAATATTTGTTTAACCAAGCAAAGATGTGTTGCATTTGTTTAATTATGTAAAGACGTGTTGCTGTTTTACCTTGCCTGCCTAAAGCACCTGATTGGTCTAATAAAAAGCTGAATGGCCAATAGCAAATGAGGAGGTATAGGCGGAACTTCCAGACAGGGAGAATAAGTATGAGGAGGAATTTAGGCTGGGGGTGGGGGTGAGAAAGAAGGAAGAAAAAAAAGAAGACAAACAGGGAGCCACCAGGGGCCAGCCAGGCAGCCACCAGCCGACCAGACACAGAAGAAGCAGGAAAGTAGGATATACAGAATGAAAGAAAGATAAAAAGCCCTGAGGAAAAGCATAGAGAAATAGAACAGGTTAAATTAAGTTAAAAGAGCCATTGGGACAAGCCTAAGCTAAGGCTGAGCATTAAAATTAATAAAAAGTCTCCATGTCTTTACTAGGGATCTGGTTGGCAGCCCGAAGAAAATGCCAGCTACAGTTAGGTCTGAGTTCCTTGGTCATGTAGCTTACAGAACTAATCACAGTTTTCAGTGTGCACCTTGAATAAACAAAGTTGTGAAAGGAAATCAAATGACCCTATTGTGTGTAAAGAAAAACAGATGGTTAGCTGAGCACTTGTTGAAAGTTCTCTAGACTAGAACTAGGAGAGGAATCTGCTACACTGAAACCACAGACAGCTGCCCGCCAGCACAAAGGAGCTGGTGGAAACAGACTCGGCTTGCTTAAAACATTGTTAATCAGCAATAAAAGAATCATTGCTGGCCGGGCGGTGGTGGCGCACGCCTTTAATCCCAGCACTCGGGAGGCAGAGGCAGGCGGATCTCTGTGAGTTCAAGGCCAGACTGGGCTACAGAGCTAGATCCAGGAAAGGCGCAAAGCTACCCAGAGAAACCCTGTCTCGGAAAAACAAACAAACAAAAAAACAAGAATCATTGCTTTAGAGTGAAGATGTTGAAGATGTCACGGTGGGAGAAACCCTACACAGGGAAATGTTTAACTACGTGTGGGCTTCTAAGAGACACATGCAACTTGTGACCATAATGTGATGTCTTCCTGTGTGAAGGTTTTAATTTGTTTCTGGAAAATACGTAACTTGTGGTTGTGAGGTGATTGCCTTCCTGCACAGAGATTCTTGTCTTAGGTGGCATAAAAGGGTTAAGAGAAAAAGAGTAGAAGAATTAAGTTTTGTCCGCTCGGACAAGACTCCTTTGTGTTTGTATAGTGGCCAACTCCACATCTCCTCTCCAGGTTCTCTGACCTGCTGGAGGGGAACTCCAGCAACGTTTTTGGTTGTTTGGTTGGTTGGTTGGTTTGGTTTGGTTTTCCTGTAGATGAATTGATTCTGCTTTTTAACAGAATGTTTAGTTTTCTCTTATCTTTTTTTTTTCCCTGTCCCTTCCTTGAACAATTCTGAAAGTTCCTGAGTCTGGTGGTATTATGAGAATAGACAGAGTCACAATGGCTCCGGGTAAGGAAGATAGATGCCGAATGATTTAAGGAAGGCACTGCCATAGGAGGAATGACCAGCAGAGGACCCGGACTATGGGAGGAGGGGTCCAAGGTCATGTCACTGAAACATGCATTACGAAACTGCTTTAAAAACCACTGACCCCTCACATGGGCACACAAGGTAACTGTAATAGTTCCAAGGCGAAAGCCTGGCATCTTGGCCTTCATTCGTGTCTGTCTCCTTCCTTTGAGGCCACCTGGCCATCGCTGCAGGTCAACTGTTAGTCACCCAATGGGTATCTGAATTACCTCATCCCCTTTAAGGCACAGAGATGGACTGACCTAAACACACAGTCACCTTAGACTCCAGGAGCCACCAAACCTCAAAGACAGACCACCCCAGAGACGATAGCAGTGGTCTATGAGAACAAGGCTGCACCCTGGGGCACAGGTAATCATCCCCTAAGAAGGACTTCTGTAGACCATTTGGCAGGACCAGAACTGAGATAATGATCAAGAAGTCCACACCTAGATCAGGGATGCTAAATTATACATAACCCCCTGCTCCTCGCCCCAGTTCTGTTTAAACCTAAAGCTGATTTCAGCTCCCCCAAGACAGGCTTGCAGTCACAATCCCTTACTTGTTCCTTTTTGCACTGTGGCCACACTGAATTCATCTCCTCTACTTTTCACCATTCCTTGTCTCTTTAGTTGTCATCCTGGAGATGGGTGAGCAAGCCTAGCATGTTGGACTGCAGCGAATCATGTCCATTGGAATGGAAAAGGCATCCGTGGTCTGTGGACGTCAGAACTTGAGCATCATGAGACTTGGGTGTCCAGCTCCGGCTGGATGAAGAGTGTTTCTGCCAAGCAACAGGGCTCTAACTGAGCAGAAGCCTGAGTCACTTGAAGTGCAGAGAGCCCAACAGTCACCTGGGTAGAGGGAGGGGGGGTCAGTCACTGCTCAAACAGCACGGGGACAGGTCGGTGCAGGAGAGAAGCTGGCAGCGACCACTGACTCAGAAGTGATCTCCTACTCAAAATTAAGAGTTAGAAATATGGGGCTTTCGAAATGGCTCAGTGGTTGAAAGCATTTGCTGCTCTTAGAAGGGGACTTGAGTTCCATTCACAACATCCATATCTGGTAGGTCACAACCACGTGTAACTCAAGCTCCAGAAGAGCCAAGAGCCTCTTTCGGCCCCCAGGCACCTACATACACCTGCACCTTCATACAGACATATACACATGATTTAAGAAATAAAATCTCTAAGCCAGGAGGTGGTGGTATGCACGTCTTTAATCCCAGCAATTGGGAATCAAAGGCAGGTGGATCTCTGTGAGTTCGAGGCCAGCCTGGTCTACAGAGCTAGTTCCAGGACAGTCAAGGCTACACAGAGAAATCTTATCTCAAAAGCAAAAAACAAGAAGAAGAAGAGGAGGAGGAAGAGGAGGAAGAGGAGGAGGGGGGAATTTGGAAAGGGGAGCAGTAGTAGAATGAGCTGAGTTTGGGACTGAAGGTCTCATACAAACTCACAAACTCGCAGATTCCAGTGTAGATACGGAAATAAGCTCCGCTGTGCCTGTACATTGGTGGTATAAACGTGTTCCCATCTGCGTCCACTGAAGAGGCCAGGACTCTTTTTTTTTTTTCTTTGACACAGAGTTTTGCTACATAGCTCTGGCTAGCCCGGAAATTGCCATGTAGACCAGGCTGGCCTTGAACTTGCAGTAGTCCTCCTGCCTCTGCCTCTTAAGTGCTGAGATTACAGGCATGTGCCACCACGCCCAGCTGGTCAGGCTCTTCGGATTCATTAGAGCAGGTCTGAGTTGACCACTTCTTTTTCACAGCCCACAGGTAGTTAAAGTCTGTGTCTTTCTGGCTGAGGCGGAATATTTTCTAGGTTTTTATTGAGATGTATTTGACAATGGATATGTTTAAAGAATAAAATGAGAAGTTTGGAAGAGACAAAAATTTGTACCTGACATTCAACCCTGAATTGCAAGGGATCGTAAGCCCCAGCTTGGGAAGCTGAGAGAATTGACAGGTCCATGGCTAACTGACAACGAGAGACAGAACCAAGGATCTCACGCAGGCTCTTAAGGGGCCTTACCCTGAGACACTGAATGTGAGACAGAGGAAGGCAAGAACAGAGAAGTCCTTCAGAGTGGTAATGAGACACCAAGACTCTGAAAAGACGCCGGGCAGGGCAGAGAAGGGAACAGAGAGATCATGCCTACATATGAGACAGACAGCTGGCACCTGAGAGCTCTGGGAAGCATCTCAGAACCTCTATGAGGACCAGCTGGCCAGAGAAGTCAGTAAGGTAGGGCTGGACACAGGGCTCCGAGCCTACAGTCTTGTAGGGAAAGACCCAGATCTCCGAGACCCTCCCTTTCTGTAAGAGTCTTTGGAATAGCAATATCCAGACAGGAGGAGGGGCAGCCTAGCCTAGGCTGCCACTGACCTTTTACTACCATCTGGCCCTGATCCCACCCTGTGGGATAACATGTCACAGGAAGAGACTTTCAGAGAGCCCAGCACTGCCTGGACATCCCTTGAAGAGGACAACAAAACTGAGACTCAGCTCCTGGGTCTGTGTCACCTGAGGCCTGGCCACTCACAGAGGATGCGCTTGCAGCAGAATGCCATAGAACCTCTCCAGTTGGCCAGATGTGGAGAAGAGTGAGCCTAGTCTCCTTTGGGGGTTCAGGGGAGAAGTGGGAATAAGAATTCAGCCGGACTCTCTTGACAGTTTCCCGTTTGGGTGTCTGATTACGATTCAGAAGCTGAGGATGTGCTATGTAGAGTGAGTAGAAAATTTCTTAATAATAATAAATAAAAAAGAAACTGAGGATGAGGATGAAAAGCCAGTCCAGCAGGGAAACAAGAACCCAGGGTTGCCACTTCCTCAGAGGTAGTATACAAAATGCCAAGTGTCTTCCATTATACCCTCCTGGAACTTGTCAAACAGAGAAACTGCATAAGACCGCCTCACTCCTTTACTGGGAGGGGAATACACTCGGACACGATACACGGCTGTGAGCCCAGCAAGATCTCCAGCTCGAGATGCATCTGGCTGGCTGTGACTCGGTAGTGGCCTTTGATGATACCCCGTGAAGTGCAGGCATGGCACCTCCAGTAAGACTGGATGACTCGGACAGCCTTAAGCACCTGGTGGTAACGCCTGTGGATACGCCACATTCGGATCCAGGACTGCAACCTGACCACTGCCCACTGCTCCTGTTGGAAGGTATCCAGTAATGCCTGACGCCTCTTCTCCATAATCTTTGGCAGTATCATCCTCCACCAGCACTGGATGATCCAGGCCCTGAGGGCCGCGTGCAGCAGCGCCCGACGTACCAGTGTGCCACGCCACCAGGCTTGGATCTTTACAGCTGGGATCTTTTCAGAGAGCTCCTGGTTTTCTTGGAACTTGCAAAGGAAAAAGAAGGGATGGGTACTCAGTGACTTTCCTCATCCACCTCAGCACAAGGATATGCCGAGAAAGGCCCCGATTCCCTATCAATAATTGCCCCCCTCCCCGCTGAAGTGAATAGCTTTGGTCAGGACACTGTCACCTTCTGGCTTCAGGCCCCTAGCAGCTCCCCTAGTTCCTCGAGCCTGTCTCTCCTGCCCTAGCATTCCGGCTTTGCCAGAGACCAGGTTAGCAGGCTAAGAGCAAAACCTGTGACCCACACACATATCAACTGGTTATGTCCTGGGAGCCTGCCCACCTAGCCAGGACCGTGTCCCTTCCCATCAGACCCTCCTGGGGACTTGGTGTCCTTCGCTCACTCTTCCCTCTCTTCCTGACTTTACCCCGTCCTCAGCCTTCTCCCTGCCTCTTGTGGAATCCTCATGTTTCCCCAACTCATATTCCAATCCCTCATTTTCTCTTTCTCATTCTCTTTGCTTTTTTTTTTTGTTTTTGTTTTTTTGTTTTGTTTTTGTTTTTGTTTTTTGAGACAGTGTTTCTCTGTGTAGCTTTGCGCCTTTCCTGGAACTCACTTGGTAGACCAGGCTGGCCTCGAACTCACAGAGATCCGCCTGGCTCTGCCTCCCGAGTGCTGGGATTAAAGGCGTGCGCCACCACCGCCCGGCTCTTTCTCATTCTCTATTCTTCTCTTCCCACCCTGCCCCTCATCGTGTGTGTGTGTGTGTGTGTGTGTGTGTGTGTGTGTGTGTGTGTGCTGAGGTGTGTTGAGACAAGGTCTTTGTAACCTTTGCTGGCCTCAGTCTCCCTCTCCTATCCTCCCAAGTGCTGGAATTATCGGTGCATATCATCAGGCTGGTTTGTCTTCCTCGTGACTTTCACACTTCTCATCTTGATTGACAAGCAGACATATGTGCAGAAAGAAGTGTAAACATGCACACACAAGTCTTTTTTTGTTTGTTTGGTTTGGGGTTTTTTGCTTTGTTTTGAGAGGTTTCTCTGTGTGACAGCCTCCACCAGGCTGGTCTCAAACTCACAGAGATTCATCTTCTATCTCTCTCTCTCTTTTTTTATAGTATTTTTATTTTATAATTAACTTAATTTCACATATCAGCCACCAATTCCCCCTTCCTCCCTCCTCCCATCTCTCTCTCTCTTTTTTTTTTTTTTTTTGTTTTTTGTTTTTTGTTTTTTGTTTTTTCAAGACAGGGTTTCTCTGTGTAGCTTTGCGCCTTTCCTGGAACTCACTCTGTAGCCCAGGCTGGCCTTGAACTCACAGAGATCCGCCTGGCTCTGCCTCCTGAGTGCTGGGATTAAAGGTGTGCTCTACCACAACCGGCTGATACAATTCGAAACCGACTTCCCTACATCTATTCCACATCCCTATTCTAGTCCACAAACACGTTCCCAGACTCAGCCCCCGTCCTTTGGTCTGAGAGGTCATAGTTTTCCCAATTTCACACTAACATTACCTGCTTTCCATTTCTGAGCCAGAGTTTTTCAGGCTGAAAATGGAATGGGAACGTGGGGAAATAAGGGCAAATCATTTATTCCTGTGCCTAGCTCGGTACCATGCGAAGAACAGGGGCCAGAGACGCCCAAGCCAAACCTCCCCCTCCCTTTGCCCTCTTTGTTTCTGAGGCTAGACCAACTGGCTGCTTCTCCTGAGGAACACAGCCAGTAGATTCTGTACGGTCTTCAGGCTCCGTCTGTTCCTCATCCTGTACTCAGCAATTGGGGGTGTTAAGAGTGGAGCTGCCATCTCTCCCTCACTGTTCTGAACCCCACACATCCCCAGCTTCCAGAGCATCCCAGACTCTTCCCCTCCACCGCTCAGGTTTTCCAAGACAGGGTTTCTCTATGTAGTCCTGGCTGTCCTGAAACTCACTATGTAGACCAGGCTGGCCTTGAACTCAGAAATCTACCTGCCTCTGCCTCCTGAGTGCTGGGATTAAAGGCGCAGAGCACCACTGCCTGGCTGCTTCCTAGACTCTTGAGTTATCAGAAGGGTCTGTCATTGTGAGATTTATGGGAACATATATAACCAGCCTAATGTTTCTGCCGTCTCTTGCTTACCATTGTTCACACATGGATTGGGTGTAGATGGTTAAAAATCCCCTCAGGTCTGTGCTGCCCCAGCGTTGGCATGAGCAGAGAGCAGAGGAGGGTGACCCATGATGTCACAAGAGCAGCTGTGACTCAGGCAGCAGTTGAGTCCCTTCTGAGGAAAAGGCAGAGTGCTGTCTTTTTTCTTTCTGCCGTAAATGCCCAAAGCCCTGGCTTCAAAGCTGAATCATCAGAATCACTGGTCCATTGACATAAAGGTGTATAATGAATTATTGGTAATAATACTTCATTTGCATTTTTGAATAATCAGTGGAGGGTTTACTTAATGATTTATAGCCTGCTCATAACTTCAGACAAGATCGGGCACAGAGGTATCAGGGCGGTATGGTGGTAGACTGCTTACACCTTCAAATACTATATAAATACTAAAAAGTAGTGAGTTAAGTCAGACATGGTGCTTCATGCCTGTAATTCCAGCGCTTAGGAGGCCGAGCTGAGGCAGGAGGATTGCTTTAGGGTCAAAGCCAACCTGAGCTAGTCTCAAAAAGTAAAAATGGCCGGGCGGTGGTGGCGCACGCCTTTAATCCCAGCACTCGGGAGGCAGAGCCAGGCGGATCTCTGTGAGTTCGAGGCCAGCCTGGGCTACCAAGTGAGTTCCAGGAGAGGCGCAAAGTTACACAGAGAAACCCTGTCTCGAAAAACCAAAAAAAAAAAAAAAAAAAAAAAGTAAAAATGATAAGTTGATCTATACTACTGAAATGCATTTGTAATTAAAGGCACTTTGGCCACCGTGACTGCATTTTTGGAAACTAAGAACCTAACGGTGCACATATCTGACCATGAATACGAGAGGAGGGAGGCATTCACACAAATTGTCAGTGATGGCAGAGGTACTGGGTGGCTGACATATCCGACCTACCCACTCAGTGCCCAGGAGACCCCTGGGCTCCATCTCGGTTCTGGGTTCAGCGGTCTCTTCCTTCTTCTGCCCTTCCAGATGTCAGACAGGTGAAAGGCAGCTGTCACCAAGGGGGCCCTTTCTGCTGATCTTACCTCCCAAGACCTATCTTGACAGCACGAGGTCCTGAGTCAGGCCAGTACCAAGAGTCATGGGCAGCGCTCTCAGAATGTATATGGTTAATATAGACTGGGGGAGTCTACTGAAGAGGAGGGGGTCATGTGAGGCTAGGAGTGTCAGTGTGGAGTTAATGGGGTGAGGGAGATGCAGGAGGCAGGTTGTGGGTGTGGAGTGGCAGAAAGACACATTAGCCTCTAAGTACTTGGAAAGTAGAATGTACAGGCATTTATGACTTTTTTTTTAATCTCTACACACACACACACACACACACACACACACACACACACACACACACACACACACGGGGAGAGGGGCATTTTAAATTTTAAAAAAGATCTTTAATAAGAGGTAAGTTGGAGTCTACATGAAGGTCCTTGGATCACTAAAGTTGCTACCCTTGGAAAGGACTGTTGCAGATTTACCCCTGAATTTCTGGCTTCCTATTGGGTGATGTGATATAATCTCTCTCCTTCACATATGCTCTTGCCGTCTGCCACAGAGCTTCACCAGAGGTCAGCTGACACTGGCAATGAGCTACATTAACACAACAGAGAAATCGCACGTTCTAAGAAAACACTGAGGTCATGATCAAGACACCTACACGGACGTGGTTCAGGGTGGAATATTTGCCTAATGTGATTCATATACCTTGGTGTCATTCTGGGTAGGAACGGGAACACCTGTTCTTCTTGCAGTGAACCTAAGTTTGGTTCTCAGAGCCCACACCCAGCAATTCACTGCCTGTCAACTCCAGCTCCAAGGGACCAGTGCCCTCTGCTGGCCTCCAAGGGCACTGCACCCACATGACATCCACATATCTCATACACATAAATAAAAATAATAGTAAAATATATGTGGCCAGGCGCTGGTGGTACACACCTTTAATCCCAGCACTCAGGAGGCAGGGGCAGGTGAATCTCTGAGTTCAAGACCAGCCTGGTCTACAGAACGAGTTCCAGGACAGCCAGGGCTACACAGAGAAAACCTGTCTTGAAAAAACAAAAACAAGATGTGTGCGGGCGCATACAGTATTTTCAAAACAATTATAAAAGGCACGAGCCCAAGTTTTATTTCTGAAAGCATGTGACGATGAACTGACTATCTCTGCTGTCCTCTCAATTCTAGGACTTGTAGTTTGTTTTTTGGAACTGTGCTGACGGAGCTCCAACTTTGATGTCCGCATCTTTGCAGGTTGATTACAGGAAGAAAACCATGTTCTCTCGCTGACTGGCCACAGAGAATTCTCGAGGCTGTGTTCGCGGGCCTCGGAGAAGGCGCTGACACAGATGAAGGCAGTCAGTCACACAGCCCTGGAGGAGCTAGAGAGCTGAGGGGCGGCCAAAGAGAGAATGTCTTCTCCCACACCAGCCACACGCTATGTTTCATGGAGTCTTCGGATCCCCACTGGTGCTCCACAAATGATCCAGTCTAGACTTGAAATCACAAGAACAGGAATCTACTAAACCTCGTTGTAATGAAACCACTTTTGAGCGGGAATCCTGCACATTCTTGAAAATTTTACGAACTGGGAAGGAAAAAACCGTGGAGTTTGTGGTGAGGAGCACAGGCTGGACATTAAGCAATCAGTCTTCTCCCCTCACTTCCCAGGACACTGGAGCTGGGGCAGTAGACCAGACAAAATACAACCTGTCATCCACCCCGGGAGTGCTCTTTCAACCAGGACAAGGACAACGTGGAGGAGCTGTTCAAGTCCTGAAGGAGCAGAGGGCGAGGACTGGCTTTCCCTGCATCGAGGAGCCCAGCTGCAAGACCTTGTGTCCAGGGTCAAGTGAGTGCCCGAGAGAGCTGTGGCCCGCCACATTCCCTCTGTTGTGACAGGTCAGTATTCATGTTCAACCCCAAACGTCATGGACACACCTCCTAAGGAAAGCTCCTAGTCACTACCAGAAGCTTGGAGGTTTAGCAGTGAGTCGGTGTTCTGGGAGAGCACGTTTAAGCAACAGCCAGAGGTGAAGCCCACACAAACCCACACACAACCTTCAGTCATGCCGCCAAGACCATCCACATGCAGACCAACACACATACCTCTTTCTTTCTGATTTCTTCCTCTCTCTCGGTTTCCCAAGCACGTGTAGCCTGGCTGCTCCTGGGACCCTCTCCCATCTGACCTGGAATCCTGTTATCTACCTACAGTCTTCCTCAGCACGCTATGCTCTGGCTATTCTATTCACCCGTGTTTTTAAAAAATTAAATTAAAAGCCTGCTCCACCCCCACCTGGTCGTCCTCCATCATCACTGACCACTGCTATCACACCCCCCCAGTCCATCCGTCACCAAGATCCGGGAGCTCCATCTCCAAGCCCCACCTCAGACACAGCTGACCCGCCTGCTGCAAGCCCCTCCCCACCCCATCACCCCACCTGTGACAGTACTGTGGCTTCCCAACTGGCCTCCCTTTTTCCTCCAACTCCCACCCCGAACCAGCACCCCTCCTCGCCGCCGCCGCCGCCGCCGCCACCACCACCTCCTCACTCCCCACGCCCTGAAGCTAGATCGTTATGTTTCTCTTTGTTTTTTATTGTGTTTATTTATTCATCAAGATGGCATGTGAAAGTCAGAGGACAACTTCCGGGGTTCAGCTCTCCCCTTCCGCCGTCTGGGTTCTGAGACCAGAACTCAGGTTGTCAGCCTTGGCAGCAGGTGCCTCCACCCGCCGGGCCATCCCACCACCTCGTTAGCTTCTGAATGTGACCTGAAGTCGGTCCCTTAGCTCTCACCCCTCTCTCGGTTTCCCACCGCACTTCTTCCAGCTGGCCCAGGACTCTGGTACCTCCTGGCCTTGCCCAAGCTGTCCTGGGTGGGGTTCTCCCCACCACTTTTCACATCTCAATGTCACTTCTCAAAAGAGGCACCTGGCCACCTGTCCTGCTCCTCGGCTTCCCCCGTCCCTCCCCTCCTCCACTGTTGCACCCCCAGGACAGGAGTGGACCACCCAATATGGAAAAGCAGCAAGTATTCCTTTGATACCTCTCTCCAGCAGGGTCCCTGCCTAGCTCCATCAGACTGAAGACCTTGTCCCCAAGCATGGTAGACTCCCACTTCAGGGGCAGTCTATCCCTTCCAGCTTCCTGAGCTGGAATGGGTGGGAAGTGGGGTCAGCCTGACTTGTAGGTCTTGCTATTTCATTTGATCCTCAGACCCCAGCTAGAGCCTTTACACAGAACTGAAAGCCATCGTTTCTTGGGTGATGGGTGAGCGGACGCTGACCTGTCAGCCCCGAGTCTTGGAGAGCAGCTGACTGATGAGGTCATGCAAGAGCCTGCAGAGGTTCCCACCCACAGTCCTCTGAAAAAAACCAAAGGCCTTCAGCTGGGAGCTTGCTGGAGTCCTGTCCTTCCCCAGGTCTCGCCAGCTCCTGGTCCCTGCCACACCCACCGACCCCCAAGCCAGAAGAACAGGTCTAAAACAGAAGGTTTTAATACAAAAGGGGGGCGGGGTGCTGGAAAGTACTTAAATAAGGATGTGTCAGGAGCCGGCAACAGGGGGCGCAGGGACTCTGCGGAGTGGGATGATGCAGACTGAGTTCCGAGCCTCCTTGATCCTCCACCATCGGCCAAGCCTGTGGGGAATGAGAGGACCAGCTGAGGCAGACCCACACCACCCCTCTCCTGCTCCCATCTGGCCAGGGCCACCTTGCCCTCAGCCCCACCTCCCACCATGTACCTGTGCTCCTGTCCCACTCCAGCCACCAGGAAGTCCCCGGCACTGGAGAACTTGAGGCTGTTGATAAAACCAACCTGACAGAGGGCGACACAGTAAGAATCCAGACACTCCTCACCACAGCTGCCAACATCAGCCCAGAGCCTGGTGAAAACCTGCTGCCTCCAGCCCCTGGTCGGGTGGCCCAACCCCTCCCCCTGCAGCCTCAGCCTCCTAATCTGAGCCAGAAGTGGAGCAGCAGCCTAGCAGGAGATGAATTAAGGAGACAGTACCCATCAAGTATGTCAAGAGCTGCCTAGGGCCTGGCTCCTGGCAGCGGGGTGAGCGAAGCCCCAAGAAAGCCATCCCGACCCAAGCTGTCACTGACATATCCTGCCACAATCCCACAGGTCACCCCAATGTGGATAATCAATTCCACACAGCCCAGCCTGGTTCTCAAGCCGGTGCCAGCCACGCAGAACAAACCCCAGGGCAGGCCTCCACCCTCTGCCCATGCTACTCTCAAAGCCAGGACAGGACAGGGCGGAGGGGCAGGGGATAGAGAAGGAGGGAAGAGGGAGTCCCTGCCAGGATCTGTGACTGTAAGTGGCCTTGCTCTGAAGTGACTCCTTTGCGTGGGAAGAGCAGAAAAAGCTCCTTCCAGGGGCCCCCAGAGTCTGGCAAAGACAGGCTTATGCATTTACCACTTACCAGGGGGATGTCACAAAGAGGGTCAAGCTGCCGGAAGCCCTCTCCACACTGCCAAAGCCGCACACAGGCATTGTGGGAGCCTTGGAGGACAGAAGGTCAGTGAGCAACCCCTATACCAACTCGCCCTGTGCCCCCTCTACCCACCTCACAGAGCACCCACCTGTGGCCACAAGATCTGTATTGAGTAGGGCTGCCACTGATGACACCCAGAAGGGCTGCTCCAGGCCTGGCTCCCCGTGCAGCCCGTGAGCTTCCCGCTGGAGGGCAAGTGGCCGTTTCTTGGAGAGGCCCCACAAGGCCACCGAGCTGTGGGTGGGGAAGGTAAGTCTGAGGGGCCAGAGCAGGACAGAAGGCAAACAGCAGGGAGAACCAAGCACACAGACCGGCTGAGGCATGTGGACAGGGTCACTGGTCCAAAATGATCCCATGAGTTAAGTCCAGGCCCGGGCAGGCAGGAATGGTCAGAAGCAGCAGCAGTGGTCAGACGTATCAGAAAGATAACTCTTACCCATCATCCGCACCGGACACCATGTGCTCCTCATTGATCAGATGAATACAGTCAATGGAGCCCCTAGAGAAAGAGACTGTGAGGGACAAGGTCCAGCCCTCTCACCAGCCCACAGAGCCTTGACACACAGCACAGCAGACTGCCTTACTGGTGGCCATAGAAGACAAGCTGGGATTCCTCTGGGATCTTCCACACCCGCACAGTCCCATCCCGGCCCCCAGCTGTCACACAGCACTCTCGGCTCAGGGCATCCAATGCAGCCACAGCATCCTGGTGCCCGAAGCTGGAGGGAGAACAGAGCGGGGTGGGGGTGGGGTGGGGGCGAGGTCACATTTGAACTCATAACTACACGTGAACCCGTATCCGCATGCCATCTGCCTGAGCACACTTACAGAGTCTCCACGTAGGAGTTCTCTGCTACATTCCACACCTTCACAGAGCGGTCGTGGGAAGTGCTGTAGAGCTGGTGGGTACCTCTTCGGAAGGCCAGTCCCTAGAGTGAATGGGGAGGGGCAAAAGGGTCAGGACTCCACCAGGGGAAACAGAGGGCAGGCCCAGAGAGGCTCTTCCGAAGCAAGTCACGTGATATGGGAAGCCTGCTCCCCTAGAGCACTGTTAAGGACCACATGAGGCCCTGTGTGGAGCCGGGAACACACTTGCCTGTCCTCAAATAGCTGGACACCCCTCAGGCCCTCCCTGGCCCTGCACCAGCTGAACCTAACCTCCCACCATCCCTCCCTGTCATGTCCTTTACACCCAGAAAGGAGGTCCCCTGAAGACGAGCCGGCGCCTAGTCCCAGGTGGGCCCACTCAGCAGGTGTCCACTAAATACCACAGAGCCTCACCGACACAGCGTCGCGGTGTCCAGTGAAGGTGTACAGGTGCTGGCAGCTCTGGGCCTCCCAAATTAGAATGAGTTTGCTGCGGTCACCAGAGGCCTGTGGGAAAGACGGTAACAGCCACAAGCACACACCACACACCCAAAGCTTCCACCTGCCGACAGGGCCAACCCAGTCTTACAAGGTACTTGCCATCAGAGGAGATGGCCATGCAGAGGATGTGGCCGCTGTGGCCTGAAGGCTGCCCCTGGATCCCCTTCTTGGCTCGAGGAATCACACGCAGCTTCCGCCCACTCTCTACACTCCCTGCCACCAAGACAGGAAAGAGGATCCTGGGATGGGGGGTGCCGCTGGCTGCTCAGCAACCGCCCCTCCCCCAGTATGAAAGAGCAGCATGGACAAGGGGTCATGAAAGGAGTCCCAGCTCGGCTGCTGTGAGCCCCTGCACAAATCACTCTCATCTGCCAAACGGGGGCAACAGTCCCCAAGGGCAGCCATGACCCCCAAAAGGGGAAGAATGCAAAAGCGCCCTGGAGACTGGAGGCGGGCTCAGTAAGGACCACTTGCAATGTGCATGGACCCGAATTCAATCTCCAGAACCCACTCGACCCCCACAGGTTGTCTCCTGACGTCTCTACACGTGAGCTGTGGCATATATGCACACCACACACACAAAATAAAGAAAAGCATTTAAAAGATAAAGGAGGAGGAGGAGGGGGAGAAGAAAAGAGCGAGAGCGAGAGCGAGAGCGAGAGCGAGAGCGAGAGAGAGAGAGAGAGAGAGAGAGAGAGAGAGAGAGCACATTGGGACTGCAGGCATGAGCCCTTCCTCTGATGAAGGTGGGAAGGTGTGGACTGTGCTCAGGTGTGGAGGGCTAAGAACCTAGAAGGACCAAGGGCTCCATCAGTCAGTGCAGAGCCTCAAACACCCTCTAGTGCAATTGCCTGTTTGAGGCCTCAGTTCCCATCCTCACCCTGTCTTTGCCCCGTGGAGCTCAGAAGCCCTAGCTGGTCGGAAGTTTCTACTGTCACTCACAAAGCACCCCCTTGGTGGCAAACCTGCCTCAGAAGCTTCCCTCATCAGGGCTCCACACACGCCCTCAAGGTCTCACTCACACTTAATGATGGTGCAGTCTTTGGCGGCGGAGAAGATGGCCAGGTCGTCGGGAGTGATGACCAAGCACGTGATGGAGAGCTGGTGGCCCCGTAAAACTCGAATGTCGGTGGGAGCTGGGGCCTGGATCTGGGCAGACAGGGACTGGGTCACTGCACTTGGAACCATGATGACACTCCCCAGCCAGAACCATTCTTACTCACCCACCCTAGCCAGAAGGAAAACAGGACCCAAGGCTACAATAAGACCCTTCCTTACCTAGCCATATCTGCCTAGGTGTCCGCTGTATTCCACAAAAAGACTCCAACAGCCTGCGCGGCCCTAAGCCATCTGCTTGCCAACCCAGCTGAGTGCACTGACTCTCTCTAATCTTAAACCAAGGCGCTCAGCACACTCACCTCCTTTGCCACCGATTTCTGTAATCTGCCCCTCTGCTCGAGCTGCAAAGGGAGGAGAAAAGAGGGGTGAGGACCTGGGAGAAGGCCCAGCCTCCCACCACCCTCGCACCCTGCCCTCCACACTCACCACGTCCTCCTTCAAGCGCCCCGCCACCTGATCCTCCTCAAATGCACGGGCTTCAGCCTTCTCCTCCTCTGTGCAGGACAGACCAGTCCATATAATCCAGGGCTGAGTGAGGGCCCCTTCCCTCCTTCCATCCCAAGCCTAGTCCTCTGCCCCAGGGCTGGGTCACAAGTGCCTACCTATCTTATAGGAAGCTCCCAATGTCCCAGCAGAGGGAAGGGAAAACTAGACAGGCCCTTCCTGACTCTGTTTATCAGAGTGGGCTTAGCTTCCTTCAGGTCTAGTCTGTCCGGGGAATACTGGCCCATTAGAGATCCTAGCCACCCTCCACACGTAGCCAACATCAGCAGCAGGTAGGCTCTGGCAGAGACCCTGGCCTTCACCTAGTGCCCCCAGCTCACCTTGCTGCCTGAGCTGTTCAAGGTAGAGTTTGGCCAAGCGTAGCTTCTTCTCCTGCGCAGTCTCCTCCAGCTCCTCCTCCTCCTCCTCTTCCTCTGTTTTCCTTGGAGCCACGCTATGGGAAGAAGGGGCTGGGTCTAAGAGGTTGGCCTCACTCATCTGGCCCCCAGGACTGTGCTTCCTCAAAGCCAACCCTGGCCCTGTCAAGCCCCAGGGCCAATGACCTGTGTGCAGAAAACTGCAGGATGTGACTTGACCAACTGAAAGATCCCATTCAGTGTCCATCCAGCACAATGTGAAAATGGCCAACTTCCCCCAACACCAAGAAATGATTATAAAAGTTCAACAATAAGGGAAAGAGAAGGGTCCACGAGCTTCTAAGAGAAACCAGGTTGTCTACAAAAGATGAGAACTAAAAATGGCAGGTCCGCAGAATTAGCTCAGTGGCAAAGTAAGACAAGCATGCTTGAGGCCCTGGGTTCAACAGCCAATGGGGGGTGGCGAAGAACAAGGAGCAGGAGAAGGAAGAAGATGAGAGACAAGGCAGAGAGGAGGAAGAGGAGGTGCCTAGATAAACGAGTGACCAATGAAGACATTGCAATGGGTCTGGCTCAGGGACAGACCATGGGCTTAGCCTACACAAGCCCCTGAGTTCAATCACCAGCCCATCACATTGTCAAGCCAGGCACAGTGGCATACCCAAAATCCTAGAATTTGGAAGGTAAGACAGGAACTGCCACAAGTTCAAGGTCAGCCCAGGACAGAACAAGACCATCTCTAAAACTCTCTGCTAAAAAGACATCGTCAGATGTACAAAGTGACACAGAACCGGCTCCTTCCTTCTCCTGAGCTTCCCAAACTAAAGGAGGAAGGCACAAGGCACTAGAAACGGGAGATCCAGAACGCAGAACAGAAAAGGCAAATGCCAGTGACAACCACTCCAAGGGGCACCGAGTTACCAGCAGAACCGAAGAGACAGACATGGTGGGGTGAGACTCACTGCCCCCAGCATCCTCCTTGGCTCCCAAGGACTAGGTTCTAAGTGAACCCTAAGTAGTATTGACTTGATGAATTTCTTGCTATCTCTTCTAAGCCCCAGTCCCTGGGCCAGCTGAGGACACTCCCTTCACTCAAAGGCTTTGGGAGCTTGAGGGGGGTGATGAACTCACAAACAGAGTCCAGGGCTGTGGTCCCTCTGATCACAAGCCCTCAGACATCCAGTCTGCTAGCTGCTTTATTTCTCAGCACCCACTCAAGACTCTGCCCAGGACTTCTACCAGAAGGGACCTTAAAACCTGTCAGGAAGCCAGGAAGTGGTGGCAAACGCCTTTAATCCCAGCCTTTAATCCCGCCTTTAATCCCAGCCCTCAGGAGGCAGTGCCAGGTGGATATCTGTGAGTTCGAGGCCAGCCTGGTCTACAGAGTGAGATACAGGACAGGTACCAAAACTACACAGAGAAACCCTGTCCCGAAAAACAAAACAAAATAAAACCTGTCAGGAAGTCCAGTGTGATGATGTAAGCCTTTTTGTTTTGTTTTGTTTCAATCTAATTATTTTTAATGAAAATTTTTAATAAATTTGTCTCTTTTACATCCCGGCCACAATTTCCCCTCCCTCCTCTCCTCTCAGTCCCTCCCCCCATCCACCTCTGTTTTATCCCAGCACTTGGGAGGCAGAGCAGGCAGATCCCTCTGAGCCTAAGGCCAGCCTGGTCTACATAGCAAGTTTCAGGCCAGCCAGAGATACAAAGTAAGCACCCACCTCAAAACCAAAACACCTTTCAGGAAGGTCAAGGCCAGGCCAGGGAGTCCTGACCTTCCTGAGTTTACCCAAACCAGTCAGTTATTTAAAGGCCACACACAGAAAACTAGGAGAGTGGCAGGGAGGCAGCCTCAGGGGTAACGGCACCAGTTGCCAAACCTTAGAACTGGATTTACCAATTCTGCTTGCTTACTTTATTTATTTATTTAGCTTTATTTTTGATTTTCCCAGACATGGTTCCTATTTATTTATTTATTTGTTTGTTTGTTTATTTATGTTTTTTTGTTTTCCCAGACATGGTTTCTCTTTATAGCCCTGGCTGTCCTGGAACTTGCTCTGTAGACCAGGCTGGCCTCAAACTCAGAGATCCCCTTCTGCTTCTGCCTCCCGAGTGCTGGGATTAAGGGCCTGTGCCACCACATCCGCATCATGTTTTGTTAAAAAGTAGCTTTTGCCGGGTGGTGGTGGCGCACGCCTTTAATCCCAGCACTCGGGAGGCAGAGCCAGGCAGATCTCTGTGAGTTTGAGGCCAGCCTGGACTACCAAGTGAGTCCAGGAAAGGCGCAAAGCTACACAGAGAAACCCTGTCTCGAAAACCAAAAAAAAAAAGTAGCTTTTGTAAGAAAAGATATTTCAGCCCTGAACTGTATATGTGTACACATTTGTTTTTATTTTTGCCCATGTTAGAGGATCGGTAGAAGAAAACTGAGCGGTGCATCTATAGCTAATATATTTCCCAATACAACTTCTTAAAAAACTTGAAAGTGGGCTGGAAAGATGGCACATCAGTTATGAGCTCCTGCTGTTCTTGTAGAGAACCTGGGTTCACTCCCCAGCACCCACACCGGTGGCTCGCTAACACCTGTCACTGCAGCTCCAAGGGAGCGCATGCCCTCAGTCCTCCTTGAGCATCTGCACACAGCAGTACATACAAACTCCACGCATGTACACATATATACATATATATACTAGAAACAAACAAAAACCTTAAAGTGTTTAGCACAGGTTGTGGAAGCAGAAGCAGGCAAAGTCTTTGAGTTTGAGGCCAGACTGATCTATATCGCTAGTCCCAGGAAAGCTACATAGAAAGACCTTGTTTCAAAAAAGAAGGTTTCTATGAGCAAGTTAAGGCAACACGCGTTCACTTTTAGAAGCAGAATTGCTAGCCAGGCCTGTGATCCCAGCACTCAGGAGGCAGAGGCAGGTGGATCTATGAGTTCCAGGCCAGCCTGGTCTACAGGGGGAGTTCCAGGACAGCCAGGGCTACACAGAGAAACCCTGGTGGGGAGAGAGTGGGACACAGAATTGCTAAGTCCTGTTTATAAGCACGACATCAGGATTCCCTGGACTGAGAGGCTCCACCCCTAGGGATGACACCCTGCCCCAGTCCTTTGAAACCCTGTAGCCATCCCCATCTCCTGCTGAAATGAGGAAGTGTTCAAACCTTTCATCTTTTCTGTCTTCCACCTTGGCATGCTTACACTCCAGACATGTTGCTGATCCCTGAATGCCTTCCCTCCCTCTCCATGACACTCCTCATCTCCCCCAAGCTCTACTTTTAAAGAGCTTCTGTTCACAGAACACATACCAGCAAAATACACACCTCCCTACAACACATCTCTCCACTTGCTGCCCACCTGTCCCCAACAGTGAAACCAGTCCCTAATGTCAAGGGAAGCCTAGATATGCGCCAATAAACACTGTGTCTTTAACTATTCAGGAAGCTAAAGCTGTGGGATCATTTGAGCCCAGGAGGCCAGGACCACCTTGGGCAATACAGCAGAGACCCCATCTCAAAAAGGAGTCCAAGGACACCAGTGATTGTGATGCTGTGTGAAAATGGGATGAGTTCTGCAACTTTCTCCCCCTGCCGCGCAATCCAGTCTTGTGTCTGCTGCGTCTTTGTCATGAGGCAAAAAAAGGTCTCAAGACCTCACACACAGAGTCCTCCTCACAGACACACCAGAGATAAAACACATCTCACAACCAGGTATCAGAGGAAAGACCCAGGATCTGTGAACCAAAGACAATCCTGAGTACTCCACCCAGCTCTGTCACCAGCCTTCCGTTCACACTGAATCTTCCATTCACCGTGAGCCTCAAGTTTACCCTTCCCCTCGGTGGAAAAAAGGCTCACCTCTCGCTCTCAGAATCGCTGGAGATTTCTTCATTCATCTTGCCGCCATTCTTGGCTTTGCCCCTGTCCCCAGCAGAGTCGACCTGGAAATAATACGATCCTTCCTCGCTCAAGAGCCTCCGGACAGAGAAAAGCAGGGGCTACTGTCCCTGGCCAAGCAAAAGGCTTTCGGAGGGTGGAAGAAAGAGATCGAGGCTGGATCCAGATGGGACCCTGAGCAAAGGGATGGGGCCCCGAGCGAAGGTATGAGCCCCGATGGGGGCCCTGGGATGGAATGATGGGCTGTCCCAGTAGCGAGATCGGTCGTGCCCGAGGGAACATGCTCACCTTTCGCCGCCGCTTGCTGGCCCCCGCAGCGGCCCCGGACCGGGGGGCCGGCTTTGCCCGCTTACGAGTTGCCACGGCGGTGGACATGCTCACCAGTGTGCTGCCGCGGCTGCGGGGAACTCACATGGCTGCTAAACCACGGCCGCATGGCAAGACCCGGAGCCCTGATAGGTTCCTACGGAGCGGCGGGCCCCGCCTTCCGCAGCCCCATTGGACCCTCCGGAAGGCCCTGTCACTCCCCCAGGCGTCTATTGGCCACGACCAGTTGGCCACGCCTCCAAGAGCTCCTATAAGCTCCAGCGCCAAGCTGGAGTAGAAAGCAAGTTTCTTTTCCTGTTTCCGGCCTGGGCCTGTGGCGCTTGCGCTCTGCCGCCTCCCGACTTACAGGGAGGGGTGGGGGCAGGAGGACATTCTTTGTGCTTGCGCCTCATGACCACTGGGGGGAGCCAGAGGTGCGGAGTTCTTCGTTCCCGAAAGTGATTCCATTTTCCAGTCTGGGGCGGGGACAAGGCTAACCCAGACAGGCTCTAAAACACAGAGAATGGAATCCAGGCAGCCCTGGAGAGTAGACAGTATGCAAACCCAGGACCAAAGTCACCGGGCAAATAGCGGATACATGTTGCATGCCCCTCGTCAAAGCAGCATGAAGGGTGTATCAGTCTGTGAGGCTTTGGGTGTGTCTGGGTCAGTGTCCTCTCATCTGGGCACAGGACGGCCCACCAACTTCTGCCCAGTCTCTGACTCACCCCACTAGTAGCCAAATAGCTGGAATTCAACACCACCCCTTCTGCCCTTTCCCCTCCTCTAGTGGTTGTCGGGAAGTCCCTACCCAAGACAAGCGGAAGGCTCACAGAGGGTCACCAGACCGGAGCCCAGACTTAGAGCTTGTTTCTTGGGAGGCGCACTCGGCATTCCTGATACCAGGCTGGGTGACAACCACCTCTTCCAGGGTCCTGTTTCTTTTGGGTGAGTGTCCCGTGGCCCTGCCCTGGAGCCCTCTGCCGGGCAGGGGAGGGTGGGTAAAAGTGGCTCCTTATCTCTGCCAGTTGAAGGCCACTTTATCTGAAACCTGGGCTGGCACCCCCAGAGCTCTGTTGTGTTAGGAAGAGGCTTCTATACCTCAGCTCTAGAGAGGCAGATCTGGCTGCAGAAGGGCAGCCGGTAGCGCCCTGCCTTCCCCCAACCCCACCCCCATCGCTCAGATGATTCAGCATAGCAACTTTGCCAGATCCACTTTACTGACAGGAGGAGGAAATGTTTCTAGAAAGGAAGATGGCAACAGGTGGGAGGGGCGTGTCTGCTTTCACTTTTCCTACAGCCTCAGGGCACGCAGGAGAGCTGGAGAGGGTAGGGAGCCAACTTCTTCCTAGCCCGGGGTGGCAGATTGGACAGGCTCTAGCCTTACACTTGCAGCTTGGGGAGGGGGCGTGTCTGCCTACAAAGCGCAGTTTTAGGAATGGGGATTTGTGTAGCAAGAAGTCCGAAGAGGCCAGCCCCCTAAAAGGCGAGCCTGAACACTCCCTACCTCATCCCAGAATAGCCATGGCTCCCAAACGAAAGTCTTCAGTGCAAACGGAGGGCTCCAAGAAGGGGCGACTGGAGACAGGGGAGGACAATTTCCGCTCCACTGCCGAGGCTCTCAAAGCAGCTCCTGCAGATCAGCGCATCATCCGTGTGGACCCTGCATGTCCATTCAGCCGCAACCCCAAAATTCAGGTGAGCTGCACCCATGTTCAGACCACACCTTCTCCCCCCTTAGGTTCTCCGTTCTTAGCCCAGTAGCTCAAAGTCTCTAATAAGCTGTGGATTGCTTACATGTCTTCTTAAGACAACAAAAGTGACTGTATTCTATCAGGTCAAAGTGTGTCGTGTTTGACTATCAGACACTAGGGTGTTGCCTCTTGCATCACACTCAAGGAAGAGATCTGACTCAGTTTCCCCAGGACTCACCGTGCTCCCTCAAACTCACCCCTCAGGGCAAAGCTAGGTCTCTTTCGGATCCCCCCACCTAGGAAACAGTTGCGTCCTCTCCAAATTCCCACTCCCAAAGCAGAGCCTAGTCACACCCAGTTAGACTGTGTCCCTAAGGGCAGAGCCATTATACCAAGTGCCAAAGTAGGACCCCTTCTGATGTCCCCCAGGGTGCACACCCAGCCCATGCCCACCTGAGCTGCCTTCCGGTCTCACCCCACACAGGTCTACGAGGACTATGACTGTACCCTGAACCAGACCAACATTGGCAACAACAATAATAAGTTCTACATCATCCAGCTGCTGGAGGAGGACGGTCGCTTCATCTGCTGGAATCGCTGGGGCCGAGTGGTGAGTGACCCGTGTGCCTCCCCCAACTCCTTCTCTGCACAAACTTCAAGAGTCCCCAACAGGGCCACTGTTGCTGACTGTCCCACCTCACCTTCAGCTGCTCAGAGGCAATCAGCCCAGCCAGAGAGAGATCAGAGAACATTTCAGATGGGCACTCCCCTGAAAGTTGTCACTTGCAGGGGGAGACGGGGCAGACCAAGATGACCCACTTCGCCTGCCTGGAAGATGCAAAGAAGGACTTTGAGAAGAAATTTCGGGAGAAGACTAAGAACAAATGGGAGGAGCGGAGCCACTTTGTGGCCCATCCCAGCAAGTACACGCTTATCGAAGTGCAGGGAGAAGCCGAGGACCAAGAGGCCGTCGTCAAGGTCAAGGGGGTGGGGCAGTGGGGGGCAGAGGAAGGGGACCGCCTGCCTGGCACTACACCCTCAAGTACTGGGCTCCCTCTCTGACCTCAGCCTGGGCCCTTTCTAAGGCTCTGCCCTGCTCCCTGTGTGGGCATCCTGCCCAACTGCTCCTGCCATGCAGGCATTCTCTCTGCAGGTGGACGGAGGCCGAGTGAGGACTGTGGTTAAGCCCTGCTCCCTAGACCCCGCCACCCAGAAGCTCATCACCAACATCTTCAGCAAAGAGATGTTCAAGAACTCGATGACCCTCATGAACCTGGGTAAAGAGGGGCTCTGAGCGGAGTGGCAGGGACCTGATATCAGGGGGTACAGGGCTGAGACTGTCCCTTCATCCCCCAGATGTGAAGAAGATGCCCTTGGGAAAGCTGAGCAAGCAGCAGATTGCAAAGGGCTTTGAGGCCTTGGAAGCTCTAGAGGAGGCCATTAAAAAGCCCACAGGTGGTGGCCAGAGCCTAGAGGAGCTGTCTTCCCGCTTCTACACCATCATCCCACACAACTTCGGCCGCAGCCGGCCCCCGCCCATCAACTCCCCCGAGATTCTTCAGGCCAAGAAGGACATGCTGCTGGTGAGGGCTGGCAGACCCTGAGGATACCAGACAGACTGGGCAAAGACGAGAGGAGCAGATGGTCATGGGGCCCGGGTTGCAATGGGCAGGCTGAGGGCCAAGAGAGGAGAAAGCCAGACAGAGAGATGGGGTGGGGATGGACAGGTGGGGTGTCTGTCACATGGGAGAGGCTGGGGGTGGAAGTGGAAGTCCACGAGGCAGACGAGCTCTGGTGCCCATTCTTAGGTGCTAGCGGACATCGAGCTTGCCCAGACCTTGCAGGCAGCCCCTGAGGAGGAGGAGAAGCTGGAGGAAGTGCCACACCCACTGGACCGAGACTACCAGGTCCTCAAGTGCCAGCTTCAACTGCTGGACTCTGGAGAGCCCGAGTACAAGGTGACTCGCCCACCTGCCCTTGAGAGGCCTGGGCAGCCCTGGCTCTCAGACCTAAGGAGAGCTCTGGAGTGGGAGGAGCACGGGACCCTAGTCCTGAGTCTCTCACTCTGGGTCACCAGCCCCTGTTCTCCACAGGCAATACAGACCTACCTAGAACAGACCAGCAACAGCTACAGCTGCCCAGCTCTGCAACATGTTTGGAAAGTGAACAGAGCAGGGGAGGTAAGGGATATTCGGCTCCTATATCACCACCCTGCCCCTTAGGGGACAACATTCACTTGCCTGCCCCTTGCTGAGCTCACTCAGCAACTGATCCACAGCCACCATGCTAGTGTAGGCCAGTGACCTGTGGGGCCCTAGGCCTTGGTCACACCATCCAAGAAGAAGGAGGACACACGAACCATCCTTCACGGGACGTGGCATTACCATTTCCCACCTTTCCCCCACTCAGGGAGACAGGTTCCAGGCCCACTCCAAACTGAGCAACCGGAGGCTGCTGTGGCATGGTACCAACGTGGCCGTGGTGGCTGCCATCCTGACCAGTGGGCTCCGAATCATGCCGCACTCTGGTGGCCGAGTTGGCAAGGGTATCTATTTTGCCTCGGAGAACAGCAAGTCAGCCAGCTATGGTGAGATGCCCCTGGGTTAAGACCTGGGTCAGGGGGCGGAGGCACCAAGATGGACTAGGCCCAGTCCTGAGAGATGAATCCTGAAAGCATTACTGACCAGAGTATACTGTGAAGTGCCCTAGGGCTCAAGGACTCAAGAAGCATCTGGCAGTCGGGGTCATGTTACCCTGGAAGAGGGGAGGTAGAAAGGATGCGAGCAGCAATCAGAGTCTCAGCAGAGAAAGAGAGATCTTGAAGGAGAGGGGAGAGGCTGTGTGGGCCAGGCCTTGCCAGCATGTTCTGCGTGGAAGGAGGGGCAGGGACATGGACCAGAAAGCCACAGAGCCCAGGTGGATTGAAGACATTGAAGACTCTCTGACCACAGCAGTGGAGAGGATGGCAGAGGGATGGAGGGTGGGCTCTCTGTCTCTCTCTGCCCCTTTCTGTCTCTCTGTCTCTGTGTTTGTCTGTTTCCATCTCTCTGTTTCTCTCTGTGTGTCTCTCTCTGTCTCTGTCTCTCTCTCTCTCCCTCCCTCCCTCCCTCTCCCTCTCCCTCTCCATGGGCACTGGCCCTGGCCCCAGGGCTACAGAAATGAGATGAGAGCATCCATGAGCAGAGTGTGTGAGTGAGGCAGAGGTGTGGCAGCATGTGGAAGAAGACCAAAGGCATCTCCAGTGACTTCCAAATTCATGGTCAGGGTATCCTCACTTTAGTAACCTCATCAGCCCAGGCTGAACACATTGGCTGCCATCACCTGCCAGTCCAAGAAAGCAAGGTTTTAACCAAGAACAAATGGGGCTAAGTTCTTGGTGGACAAAGAGGTCTACAGAGAGGACAGTATCCCAAGAAAGACTGACTGGGGGTAGTCTCAGAAGAGCCGCCCGCCCAGAGAGGTGCCCCTTCCCAGTTACAGGGCTGGGATACCTCACTGACTCAGTAGCTGAGAGCCTGTGGGAGGTGAGGGAAAGGGATGGACTGAAAAGAGAGGCAGCTGAAGTGGGAGGGAGCAGGCCAGGATGAGAGGGGCTGGAAGATGGCAGCAAGTGCTTCCCTGGGCTGCAAAGCTGGTGGAGATACCATGGCCACTGCAGGAGAGAGTCGGGCAGGGTCCGAGCTGCTTCCTCCTGCCACTGAGCCTCTGCATCCTCTAGTTACTGCCATGCAGTGTGGGGACCACCAGGTGGGCTACATGTTCCTGGGCGAGGTGGCCCTAGGCAAAGAGCACCACATCACCTTGGATGCTCCCAGCTTGAAGAGTCCACCCCCTGGCTTTGACAGTGTCGTCGCCCGAGGCCACACAGAGCCTGGTGAGCCCCAGATGTGGGTAGATCTATAGATAAATGTGGGGTTGATATAAGGGACTGGGGGCATTTTTCAGAAAGAAGACAAAAACATGCACTCCCTGAAGGGACTGATCCCCTGTATGTCGGCCAACAGATCCCTCCAGGGTGTCTAAGAGGGCTGAAAAAGTCATGCCATTGACTGAGCGTTAGCCTAGGGCTTTCCCAGGGGAAAATGGGGGATAAGGTGACATTCCCTGTAGCAAGTGGCAAGTCACAGGGAGCAAGACATAGGTAGCACCGGGCACCAGTGACCCCCTTGGCTCTCCACCCCTTACAGATCCCACCCAGGACATTGAACTAGAGCTGGATGGGCAGCGGGTGGTGGTGCCTCAAGGTCGACCTCTGCCATGCCCATCGTTCAAAAGCTCCAGCTTTAGCCAGAGTGAGTACCTCATATACAAGGAAAGCCAGTGCCGTCTGCGCTACCTGCTAGAGATCCACCTCTGAGCTGCTTGCACTCCCAGGACCTGCTAGGTCCAGATGCTGGGCCATCCTCTTGATCTTCATTCCCTCTGCTGGCTCCCGTATTCCCATTGGCCTCCCGGGAATATAATATATGCCAGGCACATTGGCACATGCCTATAGCCTCATCAACTCAGGATATAGGCAAGAGGAATACTACCCTGGGAGCTGGAGGCCAGCCTGGGCTACATAGTAAGACATGTCTTTAAAAAAAAATTACACTCATGAGACAAAGCCACATAACAGTGTTTTGAAGTAGGCAAGGATCATTCATGCCTGTAATCCCAGTACTTAGGAGGCTGAGTACTGAGAATCACTGTGAATTCAAGGTCAGCCTGGGCTAAATAATGAGTTCCAAGCTAGCCTGAGCTACAGAGTGTGACCCTGCCTCAAAAATATGAAAGCCAATGTTCTGGTCAATGATGGACTGCATATACTAAGATTATATAACCTAACGACACTATTGTCATCTCCATCTGTGGAAACATAGTCCACCAACAATGACAAAATCACCTAGTGGCCCATTCATGAGAATGTATCACCATCATGAAGGAAAAAATGACTGTACATTGTCATCATCTACAGGCATTGTGTTGTGCAATAAATTATTGAACCCACTTCTCCTGACTGAATTTTGTGTACACATCTTCCTAAGCCCCTTTACATCTATAAGTTCAATTGTTTATATAATTTATTTTTATTTTATGTGCATTGGTGTTTTGCCTGCATATATATCTATGTAAGGGTGTCAGATCCCCTGGAACAGAATTTATAGACAGTTGTGAGCTGCCATGTGGGTGCTGAGAATTGAACCTGGGTTCACTGGAAGAGCAGCCAGTGCTCTTAAATGCTGAGCTCCTGGGTTCAAGTTTTTAGGCTCCACACATTAAGTGACATCCTGTGGTGTTTGTCTTTCTGTGCCTGGCTAACTTAACATAATGTCCTGAAGGTTCTCCATGTTGCCCCAAACAACAGCACTGTCTTCCTTTTTTAAGGCTAAATAGTATTCCACTATATGTTCACACCACAGTTTCTTTGCCTAGTCACCCGTCAAGGGACATTCAGGATAAGTTGTATCTTGGCTATTGTGAACAGTGCTGAAAAAAAATCAACCTACTGGGTTCATTTCCTTTGGAGTAGTAGGATTGCTGGACCCATCTCACCTCTTCCTGCCAGACTCCCCTGTATCTCAAAGAATGATTCCCAGTACCCTCCAATGGTCATGGCTGTGGCCCCAGAACCTTGCCTCCTAAACTGATATTTAAAGGGACACAGGCTAAAATGGGTTAGATCCCACCCATAACCTGAGTTCATGCACTCTGCCAACTGAGTTACATCTCCAGCCCATTTGGGGTTTTTCTTATATGTTATTTCAGTTTTTTGTGGTTGGGGACTGAAAGGGGCCTTGGGTATATTAAGGGAAGTGCTCCAACACTGAGCTACATCCCAGCCTCACAGGCGAGTTTACTAAGCCTCAGCTCGTCCTGTGAAACAGTGGCCACAGACTTCCTTGCTCTCCGTGGTGGCCATGTCAGCTGCAGCTGAACACTGAGAAGTGAGTGAGTGCTCCCATGAGCTGATAACGGCCACACCCACTCCTACCCACTCAAAGCCAACCCATCTCTTCTAATAACCAAGGGTCCAAAGAGGAGGCTCGTCACTAACTCAGAAACTGTCGTTTGGAAACCCACCTGATCCTGTCTCCTTAGCTTAAACATTGCAGGTAAACCAAGCATCCCTGTGTGTCTCACGTCTGGACATTATAAACAAGCTGAGTTTGTGTCAGAGAGGCACAGCTCTGCAATCCTCAAGATTGACAGCTGTCATCTGGAAATCCCTGTCCTAGCCTGGGGTGCAAGTGCCGGAAAGCAAGGTCAAGGTCCCCTCTGTGGGTTGTATGTGGGTTGTATGTTGCTTTCTGTCGTATCTCTTTTACTCAGAAAACATTCTCAACCATTTTTCTTTTATAACTTTGACTTTTTTTTTTTTTTTGGAGATGAGGTCTTGCTATATAGCTTAGGCTGCTCTTGAACTCTTGATCCTCCTACTTCATCCTCCCAAGCGCTGGGGTTACGGGAATGTGTGTCATCACATCCAGCTCATTTTGACATTCGCAAGAGTGCAGGATAGCTGTTTCATATAACGACTCTTTATAGTTTATGTGTATGGCTGTCTTGCCTGCACATATGTCTCTGTACCGCTCGTGTGCCTAGTGCCCACAGAGACCAGAAGAGGGCATCAGATCCCCTGGTACTGGAGTTACAGATGGTATCAGCTGCCTAATGTGAAGCTTGGCAACCTGAGTTTGATCCCCAGAACCCACATGAAGGTGAATGGAAAGGGATGTCAATGTGGACCGAGCTCCAGGAAGCAGGTGACCAGAGCTCCTGCTGTATGCTCTGAAGCACATACCTCCCTTTTCTGGACCCCAACCTTCCCATCTGAATGATGGAAAATTTGACCTATCAATTCCATCATGGAATGAGTCAGAGCAAGAGGCTGGAGCCTGATCTCTAGAGCTGAAGTGATACTGACCTTGTTCTTGTGATGACCTTGGAGGCATGGGTCCAAGCAAGAGGCAGACAAGGCCCCCTCTCTTTCATCCCAGTAAAAGAGGCTTCAAATAACCATGGACATACATATGAAACAGAATATCAGGAAAGTAAAGTGCCTGCGAGAGCACTAAAGCAGGGTAAAAGGATTCACGTGAGCCAAAGCTGGAATGCTTTCAGAAGAGATGGGCAAGGCGGGCCTCTCTTGTGAGTAGAAAACCGAAGTAAATAAATGACAGAACAAAAATTAGATGGGGGGGGCTAGAGAATGGCCCAGCAGTTAAGAGCACTGACTGCTCTTCCAGAGGACCTCTTCCAGAGGTTCAATTCCCAGCACCCACATGGCAGCTCACAACTGTCTGTAAGTCCAGTTCCAGGGGATCTGATACCCTCACACTAATGCACGTGAAGTAATATTAAATAAATTATATAAAAAAATAAATCTGCTGGGCGGTGGTGGCACACACCTTCAATCCCAGCACTCAGAAAGCAGAGCCAGGTGGATCTCTGTGAGTTCAAGGCCAGCCTGGTCTACAGAGCGAGATCCAGGACAGGCACCCAAGCTACACAGAGAAATTCTGTCTTGAAAAAAAAATTAGATCTGGTAGCATATGTCTGGGATCCCAGCACTCAGGGGATAAAAGCAGTAGAATTAGAAACTTAAGGTCATCCTTAGCACATGATGACTGTGAGGCCAGCCTAGACTATATTAGGTCCTGCCTCAAAAACAATAAAACACAAACAAACCATAGGAAAGCAAGTCATGGGCAAGCAGAGAGAGCAGCAATGCAAAGATCCTGGAGAGTGCTTGCCAGGTGAGAGGCACAAAGAGCAGATGACTTCTGGGCCTAGAAGCATGATGGGCAGGAAGGAGGAGAAGAGGTGGGAGGTGGGCAGAAGACAGCTGATAGAGGCCGCCTCACTGCACAGTGGAGCTCACATTGGTAATGGCTAGCTCTTAGAGGGAAAGGAACAGGTTTCACGATGCCATCTGGTTTATTTTTAAAAGGGTCCATTTTAGCCACTGCTAAGAGTGGACTGTATGGAACAAGTTGGAACAATCCAGCCAGCAAGACAGGAATTACACTAGATAATGAAAGACCAGGGGAGCTGGATACAGAGAAAGAACAGACAGGAGATGATGAGGCGATCCAGCAAGGTAGCCATCACCACCCACCACCCCAGAGGCTGGGGGGAAATGGAAGGAGACAGCTATGGGGCCAGGTTCATCTTCCAAACACAAGAGCACAGAGGAGGCTCCGTGGAGGAAGCCAAAGGTACAGGGTGAGATGCTGTCTTCCATGGGGGGCCAGGCTAAGCACCAGAGGGAAAGCATCCTGGCTTCCTCCTACCTCCCACTCTCCAGTGTTCTGCTGATTTAACTTCCATTGGCTGACTATTCATTTTTCCAGAGAAGCCTGGGAAGACAGGGTAGGTAGAGGTTGGTAGGGTGGAGAAGGAACTAAGGGCAAATCAGATGTGCAGCTTGAGGTGCAGGAGCAATGGCCTGGCCATTAGGAGGGTGCTGTGATGCTCTGGGTGGGCAGCAGCAGTGGCAGGGAGGAGACAGTGATAGGAAATAAGTGGATTCCCAGGATTGATTGAATGATGGATTGATTGATTTTGGTTTTTCAAGACAGGGTTTCTCTGTGTAACAGCTCTGGCTGTCCTGGAACTCACTTTGTAGACCAGGCAGGCCTGGAACTCACACAGATCCACCTGCCTCTGCCTCCTGAGTGCTGGGATTAAAGGCATGTGCCTCCACCACCTGGCTGGATTCCCAGGATCTTGGTGGTGGATTGGATCCTGTGTAGGAGAAAGGAAAGCTAGAAAGTTAGGAAGCTCTATCATGAGAAGCAATTTTCCAAGAAGATTCTGCAAGGAGCTAGTCAAGAGTCCTGGTTCTGTTCAGGACACAACATGTTTGAGATGCCCGTTAATCAAAGTCCTAGGGAGACTCAAGTCTGGTTCAAGGGAGAAGGCCCTTCAGACACCTGATAGGTTCTTGGTGTCTAGGCAGGTTTTTGCCATGGGGCTGGGTGACTGTAACCTGAGCACGTGACCCACTGGAGTTGCAGGGCTTTCCTGGAGCCACCTACCTGGGGGTGAGGAGGAGGAATGATACATACTGACTGGCCAGGACTGAGGGTTTTGTGTTTGGTTGGTTGGTTGGCTTAGTTTTTCCGAGACAGGGTTTTTCTGTGAAACAACCCAGGCTGTCCTGGAACTCACTTTGCAGACCAGGCTGACCTCAAACTCACAAAGACCTCTCTGCCTCTGCCCCTGCCTCTGCCTCTGCCTCTGCCTCTGCCTCTGCCTCTGCCTCTGCCTCTGCCTCTGCCTCTGGAGTGCTGGGATTAAAGGCACCACCGCCCAGGAGGACTGAGTCTTATGCGGAGACCTTTACTCAAGCTGCAAGTCCTGGGACTGGGAAGGGGTGGTTTCCTAAAGCCCACGCAGGGTGCTTTTTAGATGACCACTGGTTTGTCAGCAGCGAAAGTACTAGACCACCCAGTACTAGACCAACCAAGCTAAGGCCTCACATTTACAAGGTAAGGTGCCAAGGTAACACTGGCTGAGTACCCACTCCGTGCCATGCCCTGAGATTTGTCTCTCCTTCCCTCAGAAACTCCTGGGGGGTCCAAGCAAGCCCAAAAGTTCTGCTGACTGATTCCTCAAGAAAAGTACTGCCTGACCTAACTACCCCCAAGTCTGTCCGTCTGTTTCCCTCCCTCCCTTCCTACCCCCGCTCGCACAAGGCAGGGAAGGGTCTAGGCTCAGTAAGCTGTACCCTTGGGCAGTTTCACAGAAGAGCCTCCAGTCTCCAGCTGGCAGCTGCTAGGACCAAGGGGGCTGGCGCCAGGCCCTGGCCCTCCCTTACTAGCTGTGTGTCTCCAAAGGGCAGCATCAGAGTGACAGCCGGTACCATCTCCGCAGAGGCTGAGCTGCTGGAGCTGGGCTAGGGCAGGGGGAGAAAGCCCAGCCAGGCTCAGCCTTGCATCCACCCATAGGGCCCACCAAACCCCAGAAGAAGATGGCAGCCTGGGCATCGGAGTCACCTCCTGGGCAACCTACGAGGTGAGGGGCCCCCGAGGAGCACGGGACAGGTTATGGGAATCCTGGAGCTGGAGGCTCCATTTCGCTCTCCCCACAGCAGCCCCCAGTGAAGCCTGAGCGCTCAGATGGCTAACAACACGGGGATGAGCGCCACCGAACTCGCGGGCTCGGTGGGGTTGATCCTGGCGGTTCTCGTAGAAGTGGGGGCCGTGCTGGGCAACGGCACGCTGCTCGTGGTGGTGCTGCGCACGCCCGGGCTGCAAGATGCCTTCTACCTGGCGCACCTGTGCGTTGTGGACCTGCTGGCAGCCGCCTCCATCATGCCTCTGGGCCTGCTGGCCGGGCCGCCCGGGCTGGGCAGTGTGCCCCTGGACCCCTCATCGTGCCGCGCGGCGCGCTTCCTCTCGGCGGCTCTGCTCCCCGCCTGCACGCTCGGCGTGGCTGCGCTCGGACTGGCGCGCTACCGCCTCATAGTGCACCCGCTGCGGCCAGGCGCGCGACCCGCACCGGCGCTAGTGCTCACCGCGGTGTGGGCGGCGGCCGCGCTCCTGGGCGCGCTCTCCTTGCTCGGGCCACCTCCCGCGCCGCCTCCGGCTCCGGCTCGCTGCTCGGTGCTGGCCGGGGGGCTCGGGCCCTTCCGGCCGCTCTGGGCGCTGCTGGCCTTCGCACTGCCCGCCCTCCTGCTGCTGGCCGCCTACGGTAGCATCTTCCTGGTGGCGCGGCGCGCCGCCCTCCGGCCCCCGCGAGGGACCCGGCTCCGCTCCGACTCTCTGGACAGCCGCCTCTCCTTCTTGCCATCCCTCCGGCCACGTCTACCCGGGGGCAAGGCGGCCCTGGCCCCAGCTCTGGCCGTGGGCCAGTTTGCAGCCTGCTGGCTGCCTTATGGCTGCGCGTGCTTGGCGCCCGCGGCGCGCGCCGCAGCAGCCGAGGCGGCGGTCACCTGGGTAGCCTACTCCGCCTTCGCGGCTCACCCCTTCCTCTACGGCCTGCTGCAGCGCCCGGTGCGCTTGGCGCTGGGCCGCCTCACTCGCCGGGCGCTGCCTCGGCCCCCGAAAGTCCGCATGCCGCAGGCCTGGCACCCGCGGACGCTCCTTCAGCGCCTCCAGGGACTTCGCAAGGACCCTGCCCTAGGCCCTTCCGAGGCACCAGAACAGACCCCAGAATTGGCAGGACAGAGCTCGAGTGTGTCAGAGGCCACCTGAGAGATTTCTCCTGAGCTGGAGAAAGGAAGGTGGGATCAGAGGGGCACATCTACCCCCCCCCGTACGGGCTATGGCGGGCACTCTGCCCGCACTGTTGACTCTGAAACCGGAGAGAGGGTGGTGCTCAGTCTCAGGAACCTGATTCTGAGCCCGATACTACCTGTGTTCCTTTCCCGGGGCCTCAGTTTTCCCATCTATATCCTGTATCCCATCTCCTAAGGACCTCTCCAGGGTAGGCTTTCTAAATTCATAGATACTTCCTGGCCCAGAGGGGAGAGATGCAGGCACTGTCACAGAGAAGAGGGTCCTAAGAGCTCACAGCCAAAGAATGAGCGAAGCTGGACAGGATCTGGGTTACAGCCACAGCAGTGGAGAGACATTCAGAAGATATCCCTGCCATCTGTGCCACAAAGACGTCGGACAGTTTGACTCAAAGTCATTACTTAAATGGCTTGGTGCTAAAGGCGGGAGACTGAACACGTGACCCCTGAAAGGGTCCTGCGATTTCATCCCAGAACTGACATGTGGAAGGGGCTGTGGACCAACTGGGACTGGTGGATTCATGGTTTGGGGTCCTGCAGGGTTTCAGCTACACCCGTTCCCTGGAAGTTTTGTCACCCCAACAGCAGTATTATTTCACGGCTTTCTGGTCGCTGAGAATATTTATTCAAAAACAGGGATTGAAAAAACTGTACAGAGAATCTGCTGCTGAGAACTGGGCCCCTGCCCCAGGCCACTCCCCCCGGCTACAGGCAGAGCCCTCTCTTTAGGTTGCCCCCTGACAAGCCCAGCCAGTCTATTCCAGTCAAAAGGGTATCAGTGGAAGCAGCACGATCTGCAGGGGATGAAGAGAAGCTTGGCCCCAGCCACCCCTCACTCTCCTCCAATTCCCACGGGGGCAGTAGGCTGAAAGCCCGAAGGGATGGAGGACATGAGGGGGCCTCCCACGGCAGGGCACTAGGGAGGCCCCGGACATTCCCGGCATCCAAGCATAGGTCTGAAGGGGTGGAGCCCCTGCTCTGGGGCTGCCATAGCTCCTAGAACCCTGGGCCAGAAACTGTCCCCTCTCTGAGGAGGAACTCCAAAGACAGGGCAGGGTAGGGGGTGCATCCATGCGTCTGGCATTACTGGCGCTTGAGACCCCATGGTAGAGTCTCCTTGGGCAGGAAGGATGTGGAGGCAGCCCCTGCCGGCGGTCCTGCCTGCCCCTGCCTGGGCCTCAGCCGGCCTCAGTAGGGGGAGAATTTCTGCCGTTCAGCTTTCTTGCTCCCATTGGCCGCTGCCATCTTGGCAGTGTAGGCCGCCAAGCCCGGCGGTGGCCCTGGGGAAGCAGGTGGTAGAGCCAGGAAGGGCACAGGCTTGAGGCCGATGAAGTTGGAGAGGGAGATGGCATAAGGTGTGCCCAGCAGGCCTGGGGGAGCTGTGGGCAGGGCCGTCAGGGGTGGCGAGAAAGGGGTGGGCAGGTCTGCGGGGGCTGAGCCAGGTGTCCCCCCAGAGGTAGACTTGGCCGTCTCTAGACTGGAGAGAGGGATACAGAGGGGAAATGGAGGGAAGGGTGGGGGTGAGACACGGGCCATGAGGTTAGCCAAAAGACAGGCGAGGAGTAGGTTGGAGAGCAATGGCATGGGGCGGGTGTTTTGGGGGGAAGGACAGGAAAGGGAGAAAGGGAGGGAGGGCAGAAAACACAAGCAGACAGAACTTGGGTTAAGAGGAGAAACAGGAAAAACCACCAGTGGGAAGACAGACATGAGGGGTGGATACAGAAGTAGTAATGAGGCAACGTGAATGACTTAGGCAGAATACCGCAGGAAAAGGAAGGGGGCTGAGGAGCAGCAGGGGACTGACTGGTCCAGAGAGCCAGGAGGCTATCCCGTCCTCCCCACCTGTGTTCTTCCACAGCCCACCCCATGCTCACCAGGCAGTGATGAGGTACTGAGCCAGGGCAATGGAGACCGGTGAGCCAGTGATGGTCACATGCCGCTCCCCAGCACCCTCTGCTTGGTTCCCAATCTTAATATGTGCCCCTGACATCTGCCGGATCTCGCTGATCTTGCTGCCCTGGCGTCCGATCACACAGCCAATCAGCTAGGGGGAAGGCAGAATTTAACCCTGAGCACGGTCTAGGCCCCTGGATCCCTGCCCCGCCCTCCAGCCCCCCACCTTCTGCTCACATCGTTGGGAACCAGGAACTCCTGCGAGCTGGTCTGTGTGCTGGGATCCAGTCCTGAGGCAGAAGAAAAGGACTGAGCATGGTTCTTGTTTTCCATGGGCCTCCCACGTCCACTGCAAGGGATGCCCAGCTCCCCCTGTCTCCATTAGCAGGGACTGCTTACCTGGTACCACACTGGGTGAGGCGAAGGGAACTGCATGGCCTGAGAGCTGCTGGAGCTTGGTGACCTGGGCCAGAGAAGAGGGTCAGAGGTTAGAGGGGGCAGTTCAGGAAGGGGTATCTCAGGCTGGGGCTCACTCACCTCTGCAGGAGCCACTGCTCCATACTGACCCTGGACAGAGAAACCCTGTGGGGACAAAGCGGTTGAAAAGCGAGTTGCTATGACAGGTCAGGATAGCTTGGCCAGATCACTCCCCGTACCCTCCTCAGACCCCCCTCCCCAATTCTTTATTCCACTCCCTCCTCCATCTTGATTCCCCCCTTCTCCAGTAAGGCTTCGAGCTCCTCCTGGCGCTTCCTCACCTGGTTGGCGGAGAGGAGGACAGTACCTAGGGAGAGGCTTGGATGATAGGGGATAGTGGCTCCTTTGGGTGGGGACTAGAAGGCACAAATTGAGAAGCTTTGTCAGGATCAGGCCTCCCCAAGAACCTAGTGGCCTTGAGGCATTCCCATGGCTCCCATGGAGATGTATCCCAGAGTACCCGAAGCTTATAATTAGTCCGTGGCTGTGGCTCTGCCTGCCCCACCCCACCTGATGCTACAGCCATAAGATCTGATGGCGACAAGCACCTGGGACCCTCTCCTGCCCTCCCCCCGACTGCCCTCCCTCCCCCAGGCCCCTCACTCCGGGAAGCACCTCCAGAATAACAGCACAGATCTGGCGCACACACAGGATGATGGCGTCAGGCACCCCAGAGACGGTGACAGCACGCTCTGTGGAATTGGGGAGCAGGTCCCCTGCCACCTGTACCTGGGCTCCTGTAGTCTACAAACAGAAAACAGTGTCCACTTCTGTCGACTCCCATAGCCCAGAGAAAGGCCACAAGGGCCTAGAGCACCTCCAGAGCTCTAGTTCCCTCTCCCATTGGCGGGGAGAAGACATACGCCCACGGGGGGTGCGCCCAGGGGTGGTATATCTCTCTGCTCACCTCTCGGATCTCCTTGATTTTGGTACCTGCCTTCCCAATCAGTGATCCACACTGGCTGGCAGGGATGACAAGGCGCAAGGTCACTGGAGGCCTGGAGACACTGCCACCGTTTGTAGGAGCAGCACAAAGGTCCTGGGACAGAGGGACAGTGAGTCGGCCATGTACGCCCCTGAGACTCTCCTACCCTCCCTCAAGTACCTTCCTGAAGAGGGATAAGGAGAGTGCCTCCTCCCTAGACCTCCTCCAAGAGAACACGGCCTTGGACTTGACCTTCCCTCCCCCATAGCCACTGTCTGGAGACAGGGTCAGGTTTCTCACAGGCAGCCACCCTCAGACTCCCACCCTAGTCAGGCACAAACCTCATCCAGCTTGAAGGCAATCATGGAGACCGCATGGAACACGGCGGCTGTCGATCCAGTGATGGTAGTGATTCGCTCAGGGCAGGAGCCCTCGGAGATGGTGATCCTGGCACTGCTCTGCAGGTGTGCACAAGCACTGGGCAGCAGGCAGCTTCCCCACCGCGGTGCCAGGGATCTGTCTGCCTGCCCCACTCACTAGGCCCCAGCCAAAACTAGAAACTGGCATTCTTCTGGGCACTCCGTTATCCCAGGTGCAGTGATTCAGGGAAAAGGACAGCCACCTCCCTTCCCCTCGACCCCAGGGCCCTGGACTCCTCCCCTGACCCCACCTTTACCTGCTCCCGGATTCGCTTTACAGTCTCTCCCTTCTGTGGGAGACAAAACCAAGATTCCTAAGTGGTCACCTCTTAACCAGGGCTGAGACTCAAGTTGAGGGGAATATGCAGAGTAGAACCAGATACCTACCTTCCCAATGATGCTGCCCACCTCCTGCAGAGATAACAAGAGTGGACTCAGATGGGTACGAATGGCCCAGGCCCAGCTCCTCCTGTCCCTTGGGGGGCAGGAGAGCAGCACTGAGACCAGACATGTGCCGTCACTGGGCATGCCAGCTCCACCCACTCACCTTCCCATGCATCAGCATCCGCAGCGTGAGGGTGATGCTAAGCTCTGGCTCCTCTTCCAGCCCCGCATCTGAACTGCTCATCCTGTCAGGCGGGGCTGGGGCCACAGCGGCCTGGGAGTGTGTCCACGCTGTGGCTCAGCTGGCTCTGGAGAGGGCAGCAGAAAAGAGTCTGAGTGGAGCCCTAGTTACCCTACACGGCTCTTACACGGGGACCCCAGAGCCAGGCCACCCAAACTCAAAGAGAAGGGAGACAGCATGGGCCTTGAGTTCGAAATGTCCCTCTGACCAGTGTATTTGTGTGCACCTTCTTGGCCGAGTAATCCTGGTTATTTAAGCCTCTAGGGCCCCAACCTAGAAAATAATTACCGAATCCTACCCTCCAAGAGTTCAAAAATGAGACAACCACATGACAGATACCCAATTTCCCTGACTTGTTCCCTTCCTCCCAAGAATTAGAGATGGCAGGAGATTAGAGCTCAGTGGTGGAATGCTTGCCTAGAATATATGCCGTCCTAGGCCTGAGCACCAGCACGGGAGGAGGGGGTTAATGGACAGGTCAGCTATGAGCACCCATAGGATAGCTTCCTCCTTCACTCAGAAGGGAGGATCCTTGTAGCCTGAGCCCCCACTGTGGAATTAAGGTCGAAAGTTTACTCTGGACCAGGCATCGTAGCACATGTCTATAAACCCAGGATGCACCCAGGCTAAGGCAGGAGGCTCTCATTCAAGGGTAGCCTGGGCTCTGTAGTGAGACCCTGTTTTAAAAAAAGAAAGAAAACTTTACTCTAAATGGAAGGTACCTGCTTCCAAAGGCCAGGGCTAGCTGACTGACTTAACAATGGTGGAGAAGAGGCCAAGGAAGAGGCTAGAACCTGGCAAAGGTTTGGGGCAGGAGCCCCATGAGGCGATCTCCCATGGACTTCGGGGCCATTAGAGGAGAGGGTCCCTGCAGACAGCTCTGGGCATGATCCACTCAACACCGACATGGGGAAAGGTAGGCTCGCTCTACAGTGGTGTCTCTGACGCATTTCCTACGTTCTCAGAATGGCCCTGTGCACAGGCGGTAAGAAGTGTGAAGACTGGCCACATAATTACTACCCTACCTAGAACCAGAGACATGTAACTGGGGCTCTGAGGCTAAATGTCCACACACATCAGAGAGGATCTGGGTAATGGGTAAGAGGAGGATTTGGTGGGCTGCAGGAATGTCAAGGCCATTAACTCATGGAGAGAGGCCGAGCCTGAGATTAGCTACTGGGATTAGTTTAGCCGCCAACCCTCCCCACCCGACCCCTTTCCATGCCTCAACTTAATCCCGAACCTTAATCCTCCTCAGAAATC